TGTGGTGCTTAGTTGCCAACTGGGGTTAAACCACAACAGTACACCACTGCAGAAGCTGCTGTAGTATAAAATACTTATAAATCCACACCAAAGCTTAATGGAGGTACAGTGCTGGATTACTGGATCTATTCTAACCCTATTTACGCAAGCATGACTATAATCTGTTGGCAACATACCAATATTACACCACTAAAAGAATAGTTCAAGTTCATAATAAAATATCGCTCCTACCTCTTTTCAGAAATTTAGTTCAACAAGAGATCATAAAGAAGGACAGTGAAATAATGAAAGAAATTAATGAGTGAAACATTAAAGGTAACTAGAAGACCAACACATTATGTGTAGCTTATTGGGGCCGGGGGGCACACTAACTTTTTTTGTTTGAGTTTTCAGATAAAAAGGTTTAGATGCTACCTTGGCAAGTGATAAACTTTTCTCCTAAGTAGAGAAAGCAAGGGTTATATTACTATTTGCAATAACCTGAAATGAAAGCACAAAATTGAGGAACTTAGAACAAACCCCAGAATTTTTCAGTCTCACTGATAATTCATTAAGTCTTTGGACTTAGGTTATGTAGACTGAAATGTATGAGAGTACTCAGGTAGAAGAAAATCAAATTATCAAGTAGCCTGTCTGGCATGACATTTAACACCTCCACTACATTATTATTGTAGACACAGTCTGGTTTCTATATATAAGATTCCCCCCAGGCATCCTCAGAACACCTGAGGAGAGAAAAAAAAAAACCACCATGTTCACCTTTTCCAGAAGTTGACGCTTCAGACTTTTTAAGAACTCATCATTGTCTCCTAATTTAGTATTTGTTCTTTCCTAGTTCTCCTTTCTCTCTTACAAGAGCAAAGTTCTACGTTTGAGTTATTTCTAACTCCTTGCACATACATTTGCTTTCACTCCAAACCAAACCATACACAGCTAACTAAAAATAGCCACTTTAATCTCCTTAACATTCACAGAGATGCTAATTTAGTTTAACCTGAGTTTTACCAAGGAGAATCTTATCAGGCACCTAACTTAAGGGAGAGAGGAAGTTGTCTACCTTGGGAGACAAAAAACCCACAAGTATTCAAAGCCCTAGGATACACCAAAACACTACTTGTCAAAAAGACTTCTGCTCATAGAATAATAGACACTGGCAGAATATGAATAAAAACTATAATCTTCTCCATATCTCCTGGAGCAGCTGGTACTGTTGCTTGCTTCCTCCTCCTTCCTCTGTAAAGGAAAGAGCAAAGGTTGGAAACTGTTCCACACTAATCCCTGGAAGCATTGCAAGTCAACTTTTACTCTTCAGTACCATGCTTGAGCTTGAAACTAATTTTGAACTTTCAATTCTTGTAACAATTCTTGTAACTTACTTCTGAAGAAGCTTACTACTTTAAGTTTCATGAAGGGTCAGAACTGTAAAGTGGATTAGGACAAGATGACAAAAAGAACAGTTCAATCCTAATTCCTACACAGAACACACATTTCAACAATTGCTTCTTTAGTTTGAAGGCACTGAGATTCCTAAGCACATTTCTGTATGGCTTTCCATTACTGTTTCAGATTCCTCTGATGAAAGAGTATATCTTTCTGCCAAGAATCCTCAGACTCAGTCCCATGCAGTAGACCTCACAACAGTTTCTACAAAAATTTTTACCGTGGTGAAGCTCACTCCTGATCATGCCTTGTAAGAGCTAGTATCAAAACATTACTGGTTAAAATTTCTAAGCTTTGATTCTCAGGATAAAGGCTATGGCTTAGAAAAGTGACCTTAGCATTCCAGCTACTGAGCAAGTCCTTCAGAATAAGGAAGATAGCCCATTTCACACTTCACAGAAGGGCTCCAAAATGCTCTGTGTTACAAGACCCTCATCCCTCCAAAAATAAAGTTTACAGAAAAGTGCCACTAGGGATTTGCCTCATGTATATAGCTGAATATTCCAAGTTTCAGCTCTGGACGAAAAGGAGTGGCAGAACAAGCTGTCTGATCACTTTTATCAAAATCAGTCTTGTATACGTTTAAGATATCCAGAAACTCAGCAATATCAATGATAAAAGCTTTTCCCCTTGAAGTGTCATAGAAGAAATCCCTATACAGGACATTTTCTATCTGTCAAAAGCAGAACTAGGTATTTATTAGGTTGAGTTATTGGTAATAACCTGTTTGCCATAAACATATATTTGCTATTAGACATTAATGTACTTTGGAATTACACAAGATGGCATTTTAACAATTTATACATGGTATGGCTGGTTAGGAGTTGTAAACTTTCCAACCTCTAATTGATCAATGAGATCTCAAGTTTAAATTAAAAATCCACGTGATGAGTTAGTAGTAGTGGTGTACTCTCAGGTCACTGGACCTGAGATTTTTTTTTCCTGTGAAACCTACTGAAAGTATGAGTTTTAAAAAAAAAAGATTTCTGGCTCCAGATGACTAGAACATGTTTTTATTCAGTAACATTCAGGATCTCACCCCTTCCTCCCCAGGGATTTAAGATTATTATGCCTACTTTTCTTGTCCTTCTTCTCTTTTTCCTTCTCCTTCTCCTCTTCATCTCCTCCAGCCCCAAGTAAGGTAAAGATAATCCCAGTCTGAGAGTTCACACCTACAGCAGTAACTACCATTCTTCCAGAGCCTTCCATCACATGTGTACCTGAAAGATTGAATCAGATTCTCCACTGAGACTTGAGCAGTTATATGGCAGAGCACAAAGGAAATGAGTTCTCAAACTTCACGTTGACGAAACTGTAAGATGTGTATATATAACACTGTGCTCCCCTAGAGCTTTAATTGCCAAAACCATCTGGAAAGTAAAACCATAAGCAACTACACAAAATGTTTGTCAGTTTTAAGTCTTCTGACTTTAACCAAGCGTTGTACTAGCTGCACTGGTTTTGGATACTTTTAGGAGTCAGCCTAGATAAGGTCCAGTTTGCCAGATTTTAACCACAAATATTTTAAATAACCAGTTTACCCCCAGAAACAAACAACTTTCTTCAAGAACTGTCAAATGTTACGCACCTGACAGCAGCATAGGATCTCTGTCCAGAGATTTCTTAACATGATCAGATTCTCCAGTCAGTGAGCTTTCATCAATTTTGAGGTCATTTCCTTGAATGAGTACACCATCAGCTGGTAAAAGATCACCTACGAGAGATCACTAGGTATGTTAACTGCAGTTACTTTTTTAAAAATAAAAGAAAGTTCAACTTCAAAAATATGTTTACCATATTTCACTTGTGCAATATCTCCAACGATTATGTCAGCTACTGGTATTTGGATGACTTGGCCACCTCTGATGACTGTGAATTTCTGTTCTTGTTCAATACGGCTCTGCAGTCCCCGAAATTGTTTCTCTTTACTCCAGTCATTGAAAGCTGTTACTAATACCACACAAACTACAGATAGGAGGATTGCTGCTCCTTCAATCCAACCTGCTTCAGATTCCTCCTCTTCTTCACCAATATTTACTGATCCACATACTGTAGAAAACAGGTTTTAGATTTAAGAAAGTTCACATAGATAGTTATTTCAACAACAGAAAAGTTTTGCCAAACAGAAGAAACTACTAATAGTTGCTAAACATTTTCCATGCTAGCCTTTACAATTTTACATTTATTTTCAGTAAGGGTAACATACGAAGAAAGCTAAAGAATCTGAAAGCTAGAGCAGCTCAAGAAAGTTAAACCACCTAGAATTTACTTCCCTGTTTATCTGAACATGAGATAAGTGGGTATAGAAAGATATTTGTCCTTATTATCTTGTTAAATGATGGCGTAAGAATGCCAGACTAGACAATTCATTAACCACCTTCTGCTTTCTCAACACTTCCCACTTTACCTTTACTTTTACAAGCCAGATATCATTGCAAGAATTCAGTTCAATGAAGGCCAGATCCCTTCATCTTCCATTTAGAAGTATAAATATAGCTTCATTTCTTAAATTAGAACATTACCAGTGTCATATTGCAAATCAAGGAAAATTTAAGACTTGCTGACTTCCCAAAGAAAGCACATGACCGCAAATTATAAATTGCTTAAATATTTGAGGCAAAGCTAAAAAAACCCACTTGCACAGAAACATGACTGGATCTAAGACAAGTCCTTGTTGCTGCTGCTTGCACTTTACCTTTAACATTATTTTGGTCAGAATGATACCAGATCATGACCAGTCAAATCTCATGTTGCCCTTTTAAGGCAAGCGAGAGTTCTAGTAGTGTTGTCTCAATAAGGAACAATAAGCTGCTTTTCCGTTGACTTACTGTCTCCCATCAGATTTACAGTATAGGCATGTTGGACCAAGCAAGTCAGTACTGTAATACAGGTAGATACCTACTTTTTAAAAAGTTTACTTACATGATTCATTTCCTCCTGGAGGCTGGTAAAAAGAAAGGCCCAAGGATACTACGGCTGCAATTTCTAATATAATTAGTGTAACATCCTGTAGTGCTTCCCATACTAACTGAAGAAATGTTTTTGGCTTTTTAGGAGGTATAAAGTTCTTCCCAAAAACTGCTTCTCTCCTTTCTATATCTGCTGGATTTCCACTTAAACCTATTTAATAATAAGACAAAGTTAGTGACACTTATTTGCACTTCACCCTCACAGTAGAAGTGATTGAGGGTTTCCCATTCATGCAGTCAAATCCCACTCCATATTTCAGTAGCAATACTGAAAAGCCATATCTCAAATACAATTACATAAGTATTATCCTTAAATCAGAGTCACTATAGAAAGCCAGATATATTTTATAATTCACACTTTGCCAATATAAAGTAAGCTGATGGTCTACCTACTTGCACTTAATATGACATAACAACAGAGTAACAGTAACAGACAAACCTTTGTACAAAGTAAACAAGTTTGCAAGACAAGATCATTAGTAGAGTTACTGCTATCAAGACTGAGTAGCACCATGCAGCTTTAGCATGACCACAGCCTGTGAAGCCAGTCCTGGTTCCCACTATAGGGATTCTGTATTCAGAGATAACATCCTAGGATCCTACAACTAATGTAACATTTATAATGAAATATTTAATATAATTAATAATATAAACTACTATAAATATTATATTTGTGTATTATTTAATTATGATATAAAATACTGTAAAAACCTGGTGAAGCTCTCCAGGCATCATGTGGAGAGAGGCAGCCACTTGATGCTGCTTCCGCCTGGACAGCAGTTGTTTGCTCTTCTGAAGCTTCACTTTCTTTCTACCTCCTCTCACAGAGAGAGCTCTGTTTAGCACTGTGCAGGGACTGTCACCTCAGTTTTGTACCTATCTTCTTTCTTATATGGCATTTTTCTTTCAGAGTCCTCTTCTCTGTCTCAACTCTTATACCATCCTTAAGGGGCACTAGCAGGCAAGAGTGAGGGGCCTTCATTAAAAGGCACTGCATGCTTCAAGAGTTAGCCAAGTCCTTAAAAATAAAGGAACACCAAGTATGTTCAGTGCAAGGTCATGCACTCAGGGTCTTCCACAAGTACACCTCCTGTTTACTCCTTCAACATTTTCCAGCTGCAACCCGCCATTCAGTATTTAAGCCACTAGCTCATTTTTCAAAGCAAAATTGGCCAAACGTCCAGCCATGTTCAGAGCAAAGGTCTGGATACTTCAACCATATTGCCCCCAAGGTTATGATCTGCACCTGCTTGAAGACAATGATTTTCCTAGTAGCAGTTTTTTTAGTAGTTAACCCAACTGCTCTAGTGATAAAGGCACTGCAAACACACTAGGTAATCAATAAAAACAGCGACCACTGCAACTGGCTTTCATAATAAGTGGGGTATTTAACACCTAACAGACATTTCCTAGAACCAACACATGATATTTCAAGACACTTTGCAAAGACTACTGAACCGCAAAGCTCAGTTTTAAATGCTAACAACTGCTAGTAATCATGTAACTGAAAAGCAAAATCTTACGTGCAGATCTTTTGAAAAAGTGAAACAAATTAAACATACTCGTAGTGTATACAATAAATTAGATTTATTCTAATACTCTTAGATTCACCTTGAATTCACACTGTTGGAGATTTAATACAAAGGAACAATTTTACTGGTTAGCCATAACACCATATTTCTTGAAGTTAAAGCTTTGAGGTGCTTACTTTCACTCTCAACAGCACTGCAAGACCATTTTGAAAAATCAAGCTATATGAGAGGATCTAGAAAAACTCAGGACAGCTCGGCCATTCCAAAAGGCTAGACCACAATCCTATTTTGCAACAGATATTATTTCCCTCTTCCTTTTAGCATGGCAGAATTTGGAAAAGTATTTACATAATGTCAGTGGTACCACTTTCCTCCTCCCTTCACAGGGTACCAAGATGCAGAACCTCAGAAGTATATAGCAATTGTCTTTGAAGAATGAAAAGTGTTTTTCAACAAGGCTATATAAAGTCAAGCTACTCTCAGAACCACTTAGTGAAGATGAGTAAACAAGCCTAGCAAAGACAAAAAGCATTTTTAGTATTTGCCATAATATACCATGCACCATTACTGAACTTGCTACATTTACCACACAGCTGGCAACTTTGTAGTTCATAATCTACAGTCCTGAGGTCAAAACTACTGCCATGATATTGTTCATTATCGATCTTAACTAGGGTAATTTATGTTATTTGGGGTTAAGTTTGAAAAATATTAGGCATGGGACTAGTTAAAGCTTCATATACAAATTTTATTAGAAGTTTAGAAGTAGAAGTTACTAGACAATCAAAATTATGTAGACTTGTGGAAATACCAATGGTGGTCCATCTCTTCAGAATATAGGAAGAACTTTTGCTACTACAGATATGTCAAACATTCATTTATTCACATTTGTATACATCTGTACACATGTAAAGAACATAATAAACATTAAATACTAAGCAGTAAAGTCTGCTCAGTGTCTTCTTTTAGTAATACTGGTAAAGGACAGTTCCCATTTCTCATTTCAAATCAGGTAGGTCTGATCCACATTTCATCTGAAAACAGACATTGCCTTACATTGTCAACAGCTTCAAAGCACGAAATTATACAAGCTGAACTCATCCACTGTGTAGCATTTTGGAACTACCTGTACTCTTGCTGTGAAGCCACTGGTAATTACTCAAGTCAGCATTTCATATCATAAAGAAAGCTTCTGAATAGGAAGAAGTGTCATAGGGCCTTGCAGGAGTACACACGAGATTTTAGAGTGCTAGAACTAGGGTAACATGTAGCAGTTTTCTGCATAGATCTTACCTAGATTTTCTCCATTATAAATGTCTCCATTTCTATACTTACAACTTGAATTTGACAAAAGAGACCTACTTCTACTTTTATAAGAGCTCTCCAGTACTACCTCCGAGAAATTTATAGCAGCTGACCTGACAGAGAGGCTGGTTCTCTAAAGGTTCATATAGTGATTTAGAGCCAAAATGACATCTTGGTAGAGGACACTGCTCGAACTCATCTTACTTAACGTTTTTCGAGATAATTATCATGTTCTACTGTTGAGGCCTTGCTGTGTTTACGAGCTGCTCTCACACTCCCAAAAAAAGACTTTTATCAAGTTAGTGATTGTATTTAACTGACTGCAGAACTACTGTCAAATCTTTTTGAAAGGGAAAGGCCTTGATCACACAGTCCTCAGTACAGCAGAACCAATCTGCAGGAAAGGGCATCTAACCCTTTCTAGTTTTAGTATGCTGACACTCATCATTCCAATGTGTTAACCTGCCTGTTACATTAAGGCACATGACGCGAATCCTGCAGTATAGCAGGTATTTGGTGCTTAGTGCATCATGGCCATCTACAATCGTACACCCACTTAGCTTGGAGTAGTAGTAGGCCTTAAACCTTGCAGATTGCTGTAAAACAGGATTCAACTCAGTTCAGTTCCTGATTGTAGGAAACTACAGCCCTTTTCCCCGAGAATGGAGACTGCCTTTCCATACTACACAACAGGGTAACAAGAGACTGCTGCTGCTATCTAAGAGGTGTTGTACGCAGCAGTGCTTCACATGCATGCACTAAACTTTACAACTCCGTTGATGAAGAGGAATAGAAGTTTGCACTCCTCACGTTTTACTAATTTCTTTTTCAGCCTAAAATTGGTCTACTGTCATTCACTAGCAGGTCAGGCATGAGAGCTGGCTACTTTCAGTTTGGTATGAGGAACCCAGTTCACGTACTGAAATAATTTCAGGAGTCTGGACATCAAGAGTCTGGCTTCAAAAGCAGATCAAGCCAAAACATGCTAAATGCAAATGTACCCAGAGATACCTTATGGCATTTGTAGGCTGTTCTTGATCCAAGGAGACAAACCTTTCCATAGCATTTCTGAAGAACAGAAAGCAACAGCTCTCCAGGATTAAGACAGCAGGTACTTTACTGCTACCAACATGACACCACATTGGTTAAAAAGCTATGTGAGCACTTAAATGCTGAGACACCACAGTTTGCCAAAATCTTGATTTTGGTACTTCTCAATCACTTACCAACAGCAGGATTTCACATTAAGTGTGAGTTAATGTTAGATAAAAATATGTAAACACATTTGTACAGGATACTACAGTTTAGATATCTTAAGTGATATGACTTGCATCTTTATTTCACAAATTAAAGCTTATAGCTTTCATTTACATTGGAAGAGAGTAGTAAGAGAGGGCCAGATCTTAAGGAAAACTTCTGGAAAGCTCTCAGGAAGTAGACTTGATACATTTATTTCCTTCTTCACATTTGTATGGTCCATCTTGGAGTAATAACTCTATAGAGCAAAAGCATCAGGTAGCCACACTTCACAGAACGCCATCAAGTCCAGCATGGCAAAGACTTCTTTAAAGATGCTTATTTCTAGAGAATAAGATTGTGTGATCACTTTGCAAACCTTCTACTAATATAGTGACACTACCTCTTAGTGCCTAAAGCTGTATTGATAGCTTTTTTTTTTTTTTATAAGATAAGTCAAATTAAATCTACAGAAACACTATAGATTTAAAAACTAGATCCTGGTATTAAGAATTCAGTGTAGTACAAATAGAAAACAGATGTCACCAGTTTTAAAAATTGTTGCATTAGGGAATACAACAACTAGCCAGCAACACAGAAGCGTTAATAAGCCTTCCATTAGACTATTAAAACCTTGTGTTCTATGACAGCATGATCTGAATTGTGAACTATAGGTCATATGAGCTATCCACAAAACTTATACTTTCACCAGAAGTTAAACATTGCTATGTTGCATTGCTATTTCATATGTGGATGCCTACGTCAATGAACTTTATTCCAAAGTGCAATTCACCACTAATCCAACACCTCACATGCAGTTAGATCAATTGAAAAAACTCTTGCTTACTTATTACCATTGAATACCTCTCTAAAAGTAAGAAGCAATACTTTATTACAGTAACTGAAGTACTTTCATAAACTTTGTTATATTAAAAAAGAAGTAGTTTGCTTGACTAAAGTTTTTGCTAAATGGAGTTTCCTCAATAGTGTTAAAACTGACTTACCTTCATTTGGGGAAGTTTTCAATTTTGTACAGATGCCATGTACATCTCCATAGCATTCCTGTATTTTATGCAGTGCATCTGTAGCTCGAAGTTCCATAAGAGAACGGAGCTCTGCAAGAGTAACTCCAAAATCTCCATGATTAGCTTCTTTTACAGCATTTTTGACGCCACTATATGCAACCGAGTTGTTTGCCATATCACCCATGATGCTTGCAGTCTTTAGCGTAGACAGTTTCCAGTAAGGAACAAGATTTCAACTTAAAATATTTCCAAAAGGAAAACAAATCCTCTGGGTATGAAGACAGTCAAGGAGAGCAGACACATCACCCAAGTAAGAGACCCCGTCTGGAGAGATATCTTTGAAGTTGTCCCATGGCGCGTTCTGTTCCCCAAGCCAAATGGCATGTACAATCTAGGGAA